GCTGCGGGCTCCGCCCACGAGGGGCCGCCCCGAGCCTGCCCACTCCCGGGAAGCCGGCGCACCCGAAAACCCGGCGCCAGAGCGACGGAGCGCGCCGGGGGCGCCCAGACCTAGGGGCAGCGGCCAGCCCGCCCACCGTGGGCGGGGCTAGGCGGCAGCCGGAGGGACCACGTGGCCCACCAGCTCTTCCGGTGGGGGAATCCCTTCTTTGTCATCCTGTCATTCGTTCGTTCGGCGACTATCTTGAGTGCCGACCATCGGTCCCGCATTGTTACAGGCTCTGAGCGTTATAGCAGTTATCAAAATGGTCCCTGCTCTCTTGGTTCTTAATTCGTGAGGAATTAAATAGATAATGTTAAACAAATTCAACCCAGTACAGTTGCAGATCTAATTGGCTTTATTGATTCATGAATGGGGTAGCATCCCATCTAGCAAGTAGAGGGGAGCACTAGGGAGTTGTATCAAATAGAAGGTTTTTATAGGAGGGAGGGTGGGACGAGGAAGTTGCTAGCAAAGGAAAAGAAAGGATTGTTCCAGGTAAGGTCACCTTCTCTTAAGGGTTAGAGCTGGGGGTCTGATTAGGTGGATTACCTCATTTACCTTTGGGGGATGGAGAGCGCCCATGTGACATAATAGCTTAGTGGTGCCAGATCACAAAATGCCTGGTTGACTTGTTAAAGACTGTATTTCTGGGGGTGGTTGGAATTCTAATTAGCTTAGCTATTAAGCCCCAGTTTAATGACTTGGCCTAGGTGGCCCCATTTTGAGCCTGTGGTTTTCTTTTTAATGATAAAAAATAGAGAAATTAGTAACACCCCAGATGATGGTAAGGGTTATGAGGGAACAATGTGTGGAAATGGGATAATGAAGACTTTCTCTTTCTGATAATAGTGGGGCTAGGATATTTCTATCAACTCACCTCAGAAAACAATAAAATTAAAAACTGAAGTCTGGGGTTGCCTGGGTGGCTCAGTCGATTAAGCATCTAACTCTTGGTTTTGACTCAGGTCATGATCTCAGGGTTGGGAGATTGAGCCCCGCATCAGGTATGGAATCTGCTTGAGACTCTCTCTCTCTCTCATTGTCTCTCTCTCCCCCTCTCAGAAAAAAAAAAGGGGGGGGGAAAGTCTGGAATATATCTTTTTAATGTTCTTAAAGGAGTGCATTAGTTTGCTAGGACTGCCACAACAAAATACCACAGACCGGGTGGCTTTAAACAACAGACATTTATTTTCTCACAGTTCTGAAGCCTAGAAGTCCAGGATCCAGGTGTCAGCAGAGATAGGGAAACTGAAGGGACTCCGTTTTAGAAAGTCTCCATCTCTGCTGTTTCCTTGCTAGGCCCCATTTACTCGTGTTCTATCTTTCATCTTGCATCTGAGTAAACCAAGGAAGCTCTATGTTCCCACTCCAAAGGGGAAGCAAGAAAGTTAATAATTCCCTGAGTTTCATCCTCGGCCCCCACATACCTGATAACATCTAAGAAGAACTGGATCCTGAGCTCCAGGACATTAGCTTTGAACAAACCTCCACCAACACTGGCATCCATACCCTCTATCTTCAGTGATTTATAGAATAACAGCTATTGTTCACTGACACCTTTAATCAGACCTGGATTCCTAAAGGAACACATATCCTGGACCTCTTTCCAATATAAACACCTAACACCAAGCAACATAGAGATTCGCTTCTCCTTTTATGAGTCTCCCAGACACTCTGTCTAATATACTCTATCACTTACACTATTCAATATACTCTGCTCTCATTTCCTCCTGGCTTGAGCTTGATTTCTATCCTGTGCAAAGCAGAGGACCCTCTTGGCTGGTCCTGCGGGACCCCCTCTGGGTCCTCAGACCAGGCCTGCCTACGTCAGCAGAGTTGGTTTCTCCTGAGGCCTTACTGCTTGGCTGCAAATGGCTGCCTCATTCTATGTCCTCACATGGTCTTTCCTCTGTGTGCTTGCAGGCCCCTGGTGTCTCTCTGTGTGTCCAAATTTCCTCTTCTTATAAGGACACCGGTCAGGTTGGATTAGAGCATACCCTAATGACTTGTTTTCTCGTAATCACTTCTTTAAAGTGATTAATAAATTTAATCAGTCACATTCTAAGGTACTAGAGGTTAGGGTTTCAGCATATGAATTTGGCAAGGACAGGGGAGGACACAATTCTGCCCATAACAAAGTGTCTAAGAGAGGGCAAAAAAGAGAAAGTCAGGATCCAGGAGGTAATCCAACTTGTAAAATGCTTTTTTGCCCTGAGGAAAGGTGTTAACTACGTATGTATATGGAGTGGAGGACGTTTGCAGCTGCATAACTAAAAGCTGGGTAGGGAGAGAAGGGAGGACATGACTGGTAACGGTCAGTGAAGAAGTGATATGTCATTGGTACAAGTGGGTTGGAAGAATTTTTCAAACTGGGTACTAGAGTGTGTCCACTGGAAAGAAATTACATCCAAAAATTTTGTGTGTGTGTGTGTGGTAAAACACATAACATAAAATTTACCATCTTAACCACTTTTAAGTGTACAGTTCCATAGCATTAACTATATTCACATGGTGAAACAGACCTCCAGAACTTTTTCAGATTTTTGAAAATCTGAAACTCTATACCCATTAAACAAGAACTCCGCCTGTCACCCTCCCTCTAGTCCCTGGGAATGGCCATTCTACTGTTTCTATGAATTTGACTACTTTTGATACTTTATATAAATGGAATCATATGATATTGTCTTTTTAAAAGATTTTTTATTTTAGAGAAAGAGAGAGAGTGTGGTGAGTGGAGGGGGGAGGAGCAGAGGGGAAGGGAGAGGGAGAAAAAAATCACAGGCAGACTCCCTGCTGAGCATGGAGCCCAATGCAGGGCTCAATCCCATGACCCCGAGATCATGACCTGAGCGAAAAACAAGAGTCAGATGCTTAACCATCTGAGCCACCCAGGCGCCCCACGATGTCTTTTTTTTTTTTTTAAAGATTTTTTTTATTTATTTGACAGAGAGAGACACAGCGAGAGAGGGAACACAAGCAGGGAGAGTGGGAGAGGGAGAAGCAGGCTCCCCGCAGAGCAGGGAGCCCGATGTGGGACTCGATCCCAGGACCCTGGGATCATGACCTGAGCCAAAGGCAGTCACTCAACCGACTGAGCCACCCAGGCGCCCCCACAATGTCTTTTTAAATCAACATTTTAACATTGGTATATCTGGGTTCTGTCATGTTTGTATTCTTTATACATCTCTGTGATTTCATAAATGAGCATTTACTTTTTTTATCACAAGCAGAAAAGCCAAAAATGCAATATTAATAGTTTCTGGGTTTGAGTGGTTATGTGTACCTGGCATAATAAACCTGTTGTGTAGCGTCTATTAAAAGTGCCTCTTGACAGATGAAAAAGTAAGATTAAGTTTGACTAAGATCACAAAGCTAGGGGTGGTAGAGTTGGAATTTGAATACATATTTTTATGATTCCTGAATGCAAACTCTTTATCACTCTGCTATGAAGGCTTAGGATCTGAGCACAACCTAATATTCAGTGAAAAAAAATTGCAGTTCCAAAAGCAGCTAAACCATGATCCTAATTATGTAAAAGCACACACAAAGAAGACTCAAAATAACAAAAATAATCCTCTATGTTATCCCTGTAATGAAGGAGGGTGAAACATTATTTTAGCTCTACAGTAATACTGCTGTACTGAATTGTCCAGGTTGGTGCTCCCCCCCACAACCTCCAAACACCACCCACGAGTATTACATTTTCAATATTCTGAGAAAATTAGTGAAACCTGTAACCAAAGCGTTAATGGGACTAATTGTAGCTGCAGACTAATAAGTGCAACTGCAAATTTTTACCCTTTTTGTTTGCCTTTAAATTTCCCAGACTCTCCTGGGAGAGGCAGATTTAAGATCTGCCCTCCCATCTCCTCATTTTGCTGCCTCTAGAATAACCCCTTTCCTTGCTGCATACTCAATGCCTGATTGTCTTTGCTATCCATTAGGTGGATGAACTTGGGTTGGGTTACAAATTTGGGGAGGAGCTCTTTGTGCATGGTTCGTTGGCCTCAGCCTGTAACAGGAATCCGGTGGTGAGTCCTAGCCACTGCCTAGGCTCTTTGTCCTGGGGACCATCCCCAGCCCCTCCCCCCCCTTGGGTGCCTCCCGCTTAATTTAACTCTTGTGGCAAGGAAACAGTTTTGGGTTTGGTTTGGACAGAGATCTCTGGATGAGTTTCATATGGAGAGCATGTGAGCTTCTTTCTTTCTCCTGTTTGGTTTAGATCTTAGATTTCTTCTTCCCATTCAGATGCCTCCAAATAGGGGGTTTTGGTTCTCTTAGCTTCCTTTTCTAAAAAGTTGATGAGGAAGTTGTTTGGTTGAGTTGGGGAAGCCCAGGCTTTGGGGAGGAATCAATGCTCACAGAGGTTGGGCTTCATTTGGTTTGTTTGTTGCTGCATCTTCTGGTATCTTTGGATAAAACTGGCTATGTTCTCATTGGAAAATAGGAAATGACAATTTGATCCCCCCACGCAGCCCTTTGGGCTATATTTTCCAAAACTGGGCAATCATTTTTTGTAATGCTGCTTGGCCACAACACAGAGAAAAATGACCAATGAATGGAACCATACATTATAATACCATCTTGCCATTAGATTTGTTTTGTAAAAAGGAGACATTTGGAAGTTGGGCCTTTAAGATTTTGCTCGCATCTTGTTTGTGTACTTTTGTGTCCATGAATATTATAAATGTGAGATATTTTCTCTACCCCAGGGTGGTATTGCTAAAATTAATTTATAAAAGAGCTCTATTTAGTTGGTTTAAAGTAAGTGCTTGGAGGAGTTGGGTATTCTAAAACTCAAAGATAGAAACTAACCCAAATGTTTTATAAGTTCACATGATCTTGGAAAATATTCAGTATTAAAGCTAATTTAAGGTTGTTGGCTTAATCAAATGGACATGTCTTTAGAATTATCAGCATTATATATAAAACTTTCACTCTGCTTATGTCTACTGGAATTCAAATAAGTTCATGTTATCTCCATTGCAAAATTTGTCAGGAAAGGGGAAAAAAAAACCTTAGAACTTTGATGCCTCATGAAGTTTTATGGGTGACCTAAGAACAAACAAGCAGATGTGATGCAAGGAAAGTGAGACTGGTTAAAGAGAGAAAACTTAGGACAAAATCTTAATGTAAAAAGTAAAGCTGTATGTTTGTGAGAAGGGAATCTGGAAAGGAATTTTGCACGGGGTCAGGACTAAGATTGTGGTGATTAATATGTAAAAAAAAGTTTATTAGGGAGTGATCAACACGTGGAGAAGAGAAGGGAGAGTAGGAGAGCAAGATGAGGCAAAAGTTGAGCAGTCATACAATATCAACAGAAGCCTTCATTGACTCTGAGGAGTTCTAAAAGTTGGATTACCCTTCAGAACCATCCTAAATTGGGGCAAAAGGGCTGGACTTTTATAATAGTCATTGGATGTAACAACCTGGGCAGAGGTTATGCCCTTTGACAAGGCAGCTGTCTTCAGTTAAGGCAGCCTCTGATGGTGTGTGAGTTGAGGACTACTGGCTACATTCCCTGCAGCACAGAGTCCTTCATTCCTAATGGGGATTCTGGTCAGCACGTCACAGCACCCACCACGAAAACTCAGATCCATGCAGCACCCTGCACGTCCTTGTCTCAGTAAGTATATATCAACATGGGAGACGACAGGGAGGAAAAAGGAAGGTCTGCATGATTTTTTAAAAAGTTCATCTTGTTGGGGCACCTGGGTGGCTCAGCCGATTAAGCATCTGCCTTGGGCTCAGGTCATGGTCTCAGGGTCCTGGGATGGGGCACCGGGTAAGGCTCCCTGCTCAGTGGGAGCCTGCTTCTCCCTCTCCCTCTGCCCCTCCACTCCTGCTCTCTTTCTCAAATAAATAAATAAAAATCTTTAAAAAAAATTCATCTTGTTGGAATAAATGAGTTTTTTTTTTTTAAAGATTTTATTTATTTGACAGAGAGATACACAGCAAGAGAGGGAACACAAGCAGGGGGAGTGGGAGAGGGAGAAGCAGGCCTCGCACCAAGCAGGGAGCCTGATGCGGGGCTCGATCCCAGAACCCTAGGATCATGACCTGAGCCGAAGGCAGACACTTAACGACTGAGCCACCCAGGCGCCCCGAAATAAATGAGTTTTAATATTGGAAGTACACCAGTATAAGATTGGAATTTGGTTTTTCTGTTAAAATGGTAGTTTTCTTAGGTTATTAGTTTAAGTTGTAAACAAAGATTATATCTTTAATCAGCCTAAAAAAACAAAGTTTCTAAGTTTTGTCTTTAAAATGGAATCTTCTCAACATTAAGAAAAATTTTATTAACAATGATGTAATCCTCTGCATTTGCCTTTAGAATCTTATTGCCACCTTGGCTAATAGATAATTATTTTTAATTTTTTTTAAAGATTTGAGAGAGAGAGAGAGAGAAGGGGCAGGCAGAGGGAGAGGGAGAGAGAACCTCACGTAGACTCCCTACTGAGCATGGAGCCTGACACAGGGCTCCATCTCATGACCCTGAGGTCATGACCTCACCTGAAACCAAAAGTCGGCGCTCAACCAACTGAGCCACTCAAGCGCCTACTAAGTTTTTAAATGATCTATAATCTTACTTAGGCATGTACTTTAAAATCTTCTGATATTTCAGATAAACTTCCCAAAATTCAACTTCTAAATGAAGTCTTTTTGACTAATTGGGCTTATTTGGTATGTCAAGTCACATGGGAAACATTGTCAAATAAGTGATGATAAACCTCCTCAGGTTATATTTTATAGTTGAATGCTAGAACTCTTCCAGAAATTATATAAAATTTCTAAGGTTTTATTTTATTTATTTATTTTTTTATTTTTTAATTTTTTTATGATTTTATTTATTTTTTAGAGAGCGAGCGAGAGAGAAACAGCATGAGGGGGAGAGGGTCAGAGGGAGAAGCAGGCTCCCTGCTGAGCCGGGAGCCCGATGCGGGACTCGATCCCAGGACCCTGGGATCATGACCTGAGCCAAAGGCAGACGCTTAACCATCTGAGCCACCCAGGCGCCCAAATTTCTAAGGTTTTAATATGACATTATAGCAGGACACATCAAAAGTTCCAGCAAAGCAGGGGCGCCTGCATGGCTCAGTCATTAAGCGTCTGCCTTTGGCTCCAGTCATGATCCCAGGCTCCTGGGATTGAGCCCCACATAGGGCTCCCTGCTCCGTGGGAAGCCTGCTTCTCCCTCTCCCACTCCCCCTGCTTGTGTTCCCTCTCTTGCTGTGTCTCTCTCTGTCAAATAAATAAAATCTTTTTAAAAAAAAGTTCCAGCAAAGCAGATTTAAAAAAAAAAAACAACCCTATATGACCAATTACTATTCTTGCTGTGCTTGCTCGGGGGCAAGAGGGGGACAGTTATTTATGTACTGTACAGCAGGAATGGTAAACTGCAGCTCTCAGGCTAAATGCAACCAAACACCAATTTTTTGCATGAAGTTTATTGTTTATTGGAACAGAGCTACACCCATTCATTTAGGTCAGTGGTTTTCAAGTACTTCATGAGTATAGTCTTGACCCCCAGGGCACATCTAGCGACATCTGGAGACATTTTTGGTTGTTACGGGGCGGGAAGGGAACTATTGGCATCTGTTACTGGCAACTTGTGGCCAGAGATACTGCTAAACCCACTGTTGTGCACAGGACAGCTGCCTAAAACAGCTGGCCCAAAATATCAGCAGTGCCAAGGCTGAGATACCCTGGTTTATAGGTTTCTCTGGATGTTTTTGCACTAACATTGTAGAGTTGAGTGGTCTGACAGAGCTCATATGACCCACAATACCTAACATGCTTACCATCTGGCCCTTTATGAAAAGTTTGCCAATTCTCTACAAGAAACCATAAAATATACTTAAGTTATTTCATGTGTAGTAGGTTATCTATCAATTCTAAAAAGCTTCAACGTTATTTCTTCTAGAAATGAGCCAACCAATATTTTTTTATACCTCTTCTAGCCATATAAAGGTCTATAGTAAAAAATTATACTTTATATTTTATTCTGATTTTTTTTATTTTTTAAATTTTTTTATTTTTAATTTTTTATTTTTTTTAAATTTTTAAAAATTTTTTTTATTTTATTCTGATTTAAGGGATTTTTTTTTTTAAAGATTTTTTATTTATTGATTTGACAGAGAGAGACATAGCGAGAGAGGGAACACAAGCAGGGGGAGTGGGAGAGGGAGAAGCAGGCTCTTGGCCGAGCAGGGAGCCCGATGTGGGGCTCGATCCCAGGACCCTGGGATCATGACCTGAGCCGAAGGCAGATGCTTAACGACTGAGCCACCCAGGCGCCCCTGATTTAAGGGATATTTAAAACAGTGATTCTCAAAAGCCAATCCAAGTATCAGTAACTTTCCACGATGAACTTTTCACTGGCCCATAATGAAATGAGAAAAATAAAGACAAATTTTGGAGATTTTCATAAAGCTAACTTAATTCAATGTTAAGTGTTATTCCTAATGATTACTTCCTCCTATATTTAAAAATATTAAAATGCCCTTTCTTTTCTGAATCAATGTTGGTAAAAGGTAGTTTCTTTAATATGGCAAAACTGATAGTTGTAACATTGGATCAAGTCGTTAAAAAAATTCATTGCTTCTTGAAATCCAAAAGTCAGAAGACCTCTGATTTAGAGGCTTTTGTTCCATCATGAGGATTCTTTGATGTTGAATATATGTCACATATCATTGCTGAAGGTATTTCTTAAGTGTGTTTTGCAATGTCTAATAAGTGATGAACTACAGCTGAAGGCTTTTCCACATTCATTACAATCGTAAGGTTTTTCTCCAGTATGAATTCTTTGATGTTTAGCAAAGGATGAATCATGCCTAAAGGCTTTCCCACAATGACTGCATTCATAAGGTTTCACTCCCGTGTGGACTCTCTGATGAATAGAAAGATGAATTCTCTGGCTAAAGGCTTTCCCACATTCCTTACATTTATATGGTCTTTCCCCAGTATGAGTTCTCTGGTGTTGAGTTAGGTACGTGCTATGGCTGAAGGTTTTACTGCATACATTACAAATGTAGGGTTTCACACCCGTATGAATAATCTCATGTTGCCTAAGGTGTCTAATCTGGAAAAATGCTTTGCCACAGTCTTTGCAGGTGAAAGGTTTATCTCTAACATGAGTTCTCAGATGCTGGATCAGCCCAATGCTCTGGCTGAATGCTTTCTCACATATGCCACATTCATAGGGCTTCTCCCCAGTATGGATTCTAACATGTTGAGTAAGAGATGATGGATGTCTGAAGGTTTTCCCACATTCCTTACATTCATAGGGTTTCTCACCAGTATGGATTCTCTGATGTGGAATAAGGGATGAACTTTGGCTAAAGGCTTTTCCACATTCTTTACATCGGAAAGGTTTCTCTCCAGTATGAATTCTCATGTGTTCTGTAAGATGAATGAGCTGTTTGAAGATTTTTTCACAAATATTACATTCAAAAGTTTTCATTCTTGTATAACTCCTTGAATGATTGATCAAATCTAAATTGTATCTACTTCTCTTTCTAGATATATCATATTTATGGTCTTTTTTTCTTGGAGGACCTTCTGGTCCAGGAATAACTTTTGAGCTCACATTAATACTTTTCTCAAATCTGTTAGATTCTCGGCCTCTCTCCTGGGTGAGTGTTTTCTTATGGGTCAAGGGGATTTGCCCCTCACCCATTCCTTGGTTTTCCTGGTGGCTTTCTAACTTATCACATTTGGAGACTCTTCCCAACGTGGAATATACAGTGTTTCCTCTCGTGGACTGTTCCTTCATTAGGCCATGGTGTAATTCTTCCCCTGAAATATCATTCTTTAAGGTTGACTCCCTGGTTTCTGTTTTATTCTCCAAGTCTGAAAGAAATCCCAAAATACAAATGACCCACATTCAGTGCACTTTATTTTTTTTTTAAAGATTTTATTTATTTATTTGACAGAGAGAGAGATAGCGAGAGCAGGAACACAAGTGTGGGGGTGGGAGAGGGAGAAGCAGACTCCCCACTGAGCAGGGAGCCTGATGCGGGGCTCGATCCCAGGACCCTGGGATCATGACCCGAGCTGAAGGCAGATGCTTAACGACTGAGCCACCCAGACGCCCCTTCAGTGCACTTTAAAAAATAAATGGCCATAGAGGGGGAAAATGAACATGTACTAAGCATAGCAACCTTGGACTATCTTCAAATGTAGTTCTGCCCCCTTTAAAGCTAATATAAAAGGAAATGAAGAAATGGTCAAAAGAAAGAAGCTTTTAGAGTATGGAAGGGGACTTCCAGGAATTGGGAGGAGTTCATCCATGTGATTTCCAGAAGGAAGTGCACTAAGAAGAGAGCATTGTTGTAAGGGTAAATATCAAGAGATAAGATTAAGGAACACAGGATTATAGTGCCATATCATCTCAAGTCCATATTTCTATGACAAAATTTTCTCTATTAAAATAAGTTTTTTTCGGGGCGCCTGGGTGGCTCAGTTGGTTAAGCGACTGCCTTCGGCTCAGGTCATGATCCTGGAGTCCCGGGATCGAGTCCCACATCGGGC